TCCAGTTTTGGGCTCCACAATTCAAAAAGGATGTGGAGAAGCTTGAGAGAGTGCAGAGAAGAGCCACGCGCATGATCAGAGGTCAGGGAAGCAGACCCTACGATGACAGGCTGAGAGCCCTGGGGCTCTTTAGCCTGGAAAAGCGCAGGCTCGGGGTGATCTGATGGCCACCTACAAGTCTACCAGGGGTGACCACCAGTATCTGGGGGAACGTTTGTTCACCAGAGCGCCCCAAGGGATGACGAGGTCGAATGGTCATAAACTACGACAAGACCGTTTCAGGCTGGACATAAGGAAGAACTTCTTTACTGTCCGAGCCCCCAAGGTCTGGAACAGCCTGCCACCAGAGGTGGTTCAAGCGCCTACATTGAACACCTTCAAGACCAAACTGGATGCTTATCTTGCTGGGATCGTATGACCCCAGCTGACTTCCTGCCCTTTGGGCGGGGTGCTGGACTCGATGATCTTCCGAGGTCCCTTCCAGCCCAAATGTCTATGAAATCTATGAAATCTTATGGTCAGAAAGTGCCTTCTCCTCTCCAACCTCAATTTCTCCTGCTACAGCTTGAGGCCATTGCTCCTAGTCCTGTCCCCTGCAGCCACAGAGAAAAGCTCATCCCCAGCCTCTCTGCTATCCTTCAGGTATTTGAAGACTTATCACATGCCCCCTCGCCCCGCAGTCTTGTCTTCTCCACACTGAATAACTCCCAGTCTTTCAGCCTTTCCTCATATGTCTTGCCTCCCAGGCCCCTTTTGCTCTACACCGGACTCTCCAAATTGTTCATATCCTTATTGAAGTTTTGGGCCCAGAACTGGACACGGTTCTCTAGGTGAGGCCTTGCCAGTGCTGAATAGAGCAGAAGAATCACTTGTCTTGACTCGCAATTAACACTCCTGTTAATACAACCCGGAGATGTTGGGGGTTTTTTGCAGTGAGAGCACGCTGTTGGTTTGTATTGAGGTTATTATGGTCCACCATGACCCCCAGCAACCCTGGCAGTCATTGCCCAGGCTGTATTTGCACGTGCAGTTATTCCATCCCAAGTGCAGGGCTTTGCACTTGTCCTTGTTGAATCTCATCTGGTTGATGTGGATCATTTTTCCAGTCTATCCAGGTCATTCTGGATCCCAGCTCTGCTCTCCAGAGGATCCGTGACGCCGCCTGACTTGGTGTGGTCTGCAAATTTGCTACGTGTGCACTGGATCCTATTGTCCAAATCATTAATGAAGCTATTAAAGAACTCGGCAATGTTTTATGTATTTACCAATTTGAAGAACGCTTTGTTGTGAGAAATTTTTGCTCTATGTAGCTTATGATAAAATACCCCTTCCTTTTGATAAGTTTAAATAACTGAACTTTTAAAGTCTCCTGCTAACAGGTTTTTTTTCCCCAGACTTCACTTCTTTCTCATAGCTCTTTTTTGAGACCTTTCCAGTTTTTCTACACTTCCTTTGTAGCATGGATGCAATAACTAGATATTTACTTTATTAATGGTCTCAGTAGCGTCCTGTATGGAGATGGTATCACCTCCTTACTCCTACTAGTCCCCCATTTATCCATCCAAGTTGGCATTAGCTTTTGTGACCATCATCATTGACAGACATCATGTTTATTTGGTTATCCAAGTCCTTTCCACTGCTGATTTATAGGATAGTCCTCACCCTGAGCCCCCCGGGTTTGGGAAGGGCACTGTATAAATCGAATACACACATAAACCCTGTAAATGACACTTAGGCTCTTTATTCCTAGAGGCCTCTTGGAACATTTTCGTTACGATACTTGTGCTTTGCATGTGTGCAGTAATTTTCATAAGAGGCTCCTGGTGCTGCTTAGAAATGAGAGAAGACGCAACAACCGTTGTTGTGCCACTAAGCAATGGCGTGTTTGTGTTAACGCTGGCACTCTGCCAGCAGTTTATTTCAGATTGCTGAACTATTTGCATTCATTAAGTCCACTTTAACCTAAAAGGCCAAATTTCTGGGAAGCTAAGATCTGTTTGGGGGAGTTAGGTGTTCTCCACGTTTACACTGCACCGGAGTGAGGGGAGGGTGCGTGTGTGTGCTTTAAGTTGTACCAACAATTCTTTAGCTATTTTGAGACGCGTGTCTGCGCGTGAAAAGAAAATCCCTTTGTGAGCCTTTAAGAGCTCAGCTGCCGAAGTAGCAGAAGTATAGGTTTTTGACAGTGCGTGCAGTAGAAAAGCCGTCCAGCCCTCCAGTGAAAATGGGCCGTGTTAATGAAGTTGAATGAAGGAAGGGTGGCACCTTCCAGTCACTTTGGCGTGCTAAATCATGTCAGCGTTCTAAATGCAAGGGCTGCCCACGCGTGCATAGCAAGTGTGCAGCTGTAGCTGTACAGACCCTGCCCCCTTTCTTTGTGAGCTACAGTTCAGGAATTCTGCAGGAGAGCAGCTACAGATATGCTTCCTTCTGTTGGGCTCAAACTTTTGAGCTGGGTGTGGGAAGACGTGGGTGGCTGCTAGCATCTGCTGACCAAAAATGGGAGTTGTTTGTCTTCAGTTTCTGTCACTTCCGATCGACCTCAATGATCTTATGGTAATTTAGTCAAACTTTATTGTAATGTACAAATTGACATTGTTTCCTATGGTGTGGGAATGTGTTACCGATTTTGGTTTGATATGTAGAAGAGCTGTTTCTTATGAGAGGCCCTTGGGCTGTACAAGTAAAGACCGAGTATTGCAGCAGTAGGTGCATCTGGGATGGTGCCTTAGTGCGTAGATTAGGGGCTAAGACTCCAGGATATTATTCTTGGCTTCGTCACACACATTCTCTAACTTCACGGGTCATTTTAATGTCTTTACTTCTGTTTACCTGGCTGAGGAACAGGTGCCACCTGGGAGGTTCAGGCTGAATATTGTGCACTGCGGTCTGTTTTGTAGGTGAGACGGCACAAGGCCTATCGTGAAGCGGCGCATCTGAGCAGCCCCAGTCTCCTGCGGACTGAAAGGTTTGCCAGGGTTCAGAGAGAGGAACACGGCGTGCAAGGCTGCGACCTCCCGGCGTTGGTGGGAGTTCTGCAGACACAGTGTTTCTGACTGCAGAGGAGTTTAAATTCCGTGAATAATGATGATAGCAGTGTTTGTAAACACAGAGGACTGAGCGAAAGGGGGTGGACTGCTGTATGGGTTACCGAGGCAAGGCAAGGTTTGGGTGGGAGGAAGTGACTTTCCCATTGTTTGGTTGCTCTTAATTCAGCTGACTTTTTTGGTAGCTGTGTAAACGTGACAGTCTGGCAGGCTGTGAAGCATGCTCTAACATGGTGCTAATCTTCCTGACTGACAGTGAAGTCCCTTTCTCCGTAGCTGTTTGCAGGATTTCCCTCCTCTCACCCATGGGGTTTGGAATGTGTTCTTAAATCACCTCTTAAAATCTCGTGCAGATCTTTGTGGAGTTTGATGGCTGCAACTGGAAGCAACATGCCTGGGTGAAAGTTCATGCTGAAGAGGTCATCGTGTTGCTGTTGGAAGGCTCGCTGGTTTGGGCTCCTCGAAATGATCCAATTCCACTTCAGGGAGCTCGGGTCTCTCTCACACATTGGCCTGCACTTGTAAGTATTTGGCCAGGACAGTCTCAGCATGGAAAAAAGCCATGTAATTGTTGAAGTTGGGATTAGCTTTATCAGGTCCTTTTTATGGCTTACATGCTGCTTCCCAACCTTAGCTATATTGAGGTGAGGCAGGAACAAATTTGGGAAGTGGAAAACGCAGTTGGGATCTGGACAGAACGTGCTGTTATCCCTGAGGCTGCGAAGTCGGAGGTTCTCGCGTGTTGTGATGTGTATTTCCTAATGTAGATTGTGTTCGGACCATGCTATCCCAAGCAACTTAGCTTACAAACTCCAGGTCTCATTTCAGAGGTCTGATTATTTGGGGGAAGTTTAGGTTGCACATGGAAGGAACTCTTTTCAGGTGCTTGGGATTGTACAGCGATGAAGTAGTGAGGACCTTTTGAAGGTTTTAGAAAGATTATTTCTCATAGTACCTAGCTGTGATTCCTGCAGAATTTATAAGGACTTCCCCCTGCCCCCCTTCATTTTTAATAGGCTAAGTGCTATACCCCAAAGTTTTTGTTGGAATAGCTGTATTGCCTGGAGTATGTGGAAAGATGCACAGAGAAGAGAGCTGTTGCTGGCTGCCAGCTCCATTTTTCATTTGGGGAAACAGATTAACTGTGTCAAAGGAAACCTTCTGTCAGCATATGCTACCCCTTCACGTTGACCTTGCCACCATAGCTATGCCAATGTTTTCATACTTGCTGTTCCAGTCCTTTCTATTCTGGAGGACTCTGGGGATTTCATGAAAACTAATGAAATTAAAACATGAGAAGATTAAATTGAAATCAAATGAGAGAGAGAAATGTTAGTCGGTGCTGAAACCTTTTTGTTGATCTCTATTGAAGTTGCATGGGAAACTGCTGAGAGAACATCTTTGGTTCGGTATTTCTTCCCCGTAAGTTAGTGTCCGAGAGTGAGCACATGTTATTTTCTTGGTCCTTCAGGAGTTCACCAGCAAATGTAAAAGGAAGATTCAAGATGCAGTGCTCCTGGTAATAACGTAGCAAAGTAGCTTTTGGTGTGTTTCAGGCTGCTTTTATCAATCATAAAACAGAATTCCACAATCTTTCCTTAGCGAGTCACCTTTAAAAACATCTCTTATTCTGTCCTTTGTAGGTCACTTCTAAGTAGAAAGTATCCTGATTTCCCTGCCTCCCCACAACCCCTTCAAGCATTCATATTTTAAAATAACTCTTTACAACTAGAAGTGAATATTATAAAGGCGTTTTCGTCTGGGAGTCTGTTCTCTAGTGCTCTTGCATCTGGGTTGTAATACTGGGTTGCATTTCCAGGAATATCTCTTGCAAATCAAGTGAAGTCATGGTGGGTGATTGCAAAGAGGATGGAGCTGGACTGGTCTCAGTGGGGGCAGATGACAGGACAAGGAGCAGTGGGCTCACACTGCAGCAAGGGAAGCTGAGTTTGAATATTAGGAAAAAACTCTCTCACTAGGAGGGTGGTGAAGCACTGGAACAGGTTACCCAGAGAGGTGGTGGAGTCTCCATCTTTGGAGATTTATAAGGCCTGGCTTGACAAAACCTTGGCTGGGATGATGTAGTTGGGGCTGGTCCTGCTTGGAGCAGGGGGTTGGACTAGATGTGACCTCCTGAGGTCCCCTCCAGCCCTCGTTGTCTCTGCTTCTATGATTCTTCCGCTCTGTTCAGCACTGGTGAGGCCTCACCTTTGAGAATTGTGTCCAGTTCTGGGCCCCATACTCCAAGAAAGATGGAGACAGATTGGAAAGAGTCCATTGGAGAACAGCAATAATGATTAGAGGTCTGGGAAGCCCGTCTTATGAGAAAAGGCTGAAAGAACTAGGATTGTTTAGTCTGCAAAAGAGAAAATGGGGTGGGGGGGGGTTGCTAACAGTCTTTATAAGGAGTCATTATAGAGAAGATGGAGATAAGCTTTTCTCTCTGGCTGTAGGGGACAGGACTAGATGCAATAGCCTTAAGCTGCAGCAGGCAAAATTTAGGTTGGAGATTTCCAAGGAAGAACTTTTTGACTCCGAATGGTCAAGCATTTGGAACAGGCAGCTAGAGAAATTGTGTAATTTCCATCCCTGGAAGTTTTCAGAAGTGGGTTAGACAGGCACTTAGCTGGGATGGTTTAGTGAAGGATGATCCTGCTGTGGGCAGGGCCTTATGAGGTCCCGTTCCAGCCCCACTTTTCTATGATTCTTTGACCTAACATGCACTTGTTTGTCAGACAGTTATAGTAGCAAGTAATGCTTCCCTTCATTAGTCAATCCAAAATAGTGTTTACTTTTACATGGAATGAGAGTATAAACTTGTCCTTGTTAAATAGCTATGTCCGGGATTTCCTGGAGTACTAGAATTATTGGTCACAGATTTTTATTACAAGTGCAGTACAAAGAATGGGCTGCATTGGGATGTGCATGCTCTAGTAGTACCCACACCCAAAAGAACATCTCATTTGAACTGTGCCTTGAGTTCTAACAAAGGTTGTTAGAACTCAAGGCAGGGCTTTCACATGACCTCTCATCTGGAGTTGGTGAAGCTCCTTAGAAGTACTGAGAAAAAGTCTTAGTGATCCGTGATTTAATTTTAGTTTCTTGTCTTACCAAAGCTGACTGCCAGAAGCCCTGGACAAAGCAAAATTATTTTACTCTGCCCTTTTTCTAAATTACTGAGGCTTGAGTTCTTCTTGTTCTTTGTCCGCAATATTTATGCAGGACACGTTTAAAGTGTCTGCTGCTTTGGCAAGAATGTATTTTACAAATGATTATTTTATCCATTGAAAATCTGAGAACTGCTGGAGAGGATCACCTACGTCTGAGGGTTTTCCCAGCCTTTTTGCTGACCGCCATTTTTGTTCTTCACAGACTTTCACTCCTTTAGTAGATAAGCTGGGCTTAGGCTCTGTGGTTCCAGTGGAGTTTCTTCTGGACCGGCGCCTAAGGTTCCTGTCTGATGCCAGTGGACTCCGTCTTTTTCAGGTACTTGATTAAGCATGTTTAGAGCATAGATTTCACTTTGCCCTCTTTCCAAATCAGGAAACCCTCCTTAAGTATTTTGGTTCTTGTTTATCTGCTGTTGTAAAAATCAGCAGCATTTAGGCCTTCTTCCATATTCAGAGTGAATGATTACTATGGGAGTTGCAAAGCTGCTTCTGCAGGTCTTGATCAAGTTCTTGATATATTAAGAGAGGCTGCTTCGTTTTTTCTGGTTTGGGTGGAGGTCAGATGTTTTTCCCATAAGAGTCTCAGAACAGAGGTGCCAGCATTATGTGGAATTTCCATCGCTGGAAGTTTTCAGGATGTAATGTAAAGTAGTGCAGCTTTTCTGCTATCTACTGTCTTGGCATGAAGAGCACCCTGCCCAAGTTTGCAGATGATTCCAAAATGTGGGGTAAAGTTAACACACCAGAGGGTAGGGAACAGATCCAGGCTGATCTGGACAGATTGGAAAACTGGGCAGAACGAAATAGGATGCAGTTCAACGAAGACAAGTGCAAAGCGCTGCGCCTGGGCAAAAAGAACCACCAACACTTACAGGCGGAGGGATGACCTTCTTTCCGCAGCTGTGCTGCTGAGGGATCTAGGAGTCATAGTTGACTCCAAGATGAACATGAGTTGTCAATGTGACAAAGTGATCAACAAGGCTAGCAGCACTTTATCATGCGTTAGGAGATGCATGACGACCAGGTCCAGGTAGGTGATGCTTACCCTCTATACAGCATTGGTCAGGCTGCAGTTGGAGTACTGCATCCAGTTTTGGACGTCGCACTTCTGGGCAGGGGGTTGGACTCAATGACCTACTGAGGTCTCTTCCAACCCTAACATCTATGAATCTGAGTCTTGAGAGGTTTTGAATCTTCCAGTCAAAATGTTTTGTGTTTTCTTCCATTGCTGTCAGATGGGAACGGAGAGCCAGAATCAAATTCTGCAGGAGCAGCCTGCCCTGCGAGAATCTGTCAATGCATTGATCGGTGACCAGAAGCTCCAGGAAATTTTTAGCAGAGGTAAAACTGACTGGTTTTTCATTTCAGAACGATTTTGATTGTGTCACCAGAGTACTGACTTATGCTTGGGTTTTGTTGAGGAAAGGAGTCAAAGCGATACGTATGGCTGGTTATATTTGAAAGTTCCCCTTTCATAGATAATGTGTCCCGAGTTTTTTGTGACATGAGGTTAATCATTTGTGTCAAAAGTGCCTTCAGCTGGGAAAATGACTGGTTTCTCTATTTAAAGTGACAAAACCTCTTTCAGCGTAAGTCAGTATTTACAAATAATCAGATCTTTAGATTTGAAATGTAAAATGTTTAGCTTTTGCCTGGAGCTGGGTTTCGTGGGAATTTAGAACTGAATCCCTTCAGTCGTCTTTGAGTTCTGTGCAACTGAAGAAAACTACTTTGTCTCAAAGTCTAATGATAGCATCTTGAACATGACTACAGGGAAACGTAGGGGACTAGCCTTAGCAGCTCTGTGTTCATAAATGACTGGAATGTTAAACGGGATTTGACCCAGACTTGCGCTATGTGGTATTCTGACAGTCTAGTGCAGGGGCGGGCAAAATGCAGCCCAGGGGCCAGATGTAGCCCGCCAGGCCATTCTATCCGGCCCGCAGGGCCCCCCCAAAATTAAGAAAATGAATATTTATTTGCCCCTGGCTGCCTGTCATGCGGCCCTCGATGGCTTGCCAGAACTCAGTAAGCGGCCTGCTGCACAAAGTAGTTGCCTGCCCTGGTCTAGTGCCTAGAGCATGTAGCTTTGCATCTGTTACAACCTTTGATTAGCAGCCTGGGCTCTTCAGCTTGACCAGTGGAAGCTTGTGGCTTTCGGTGCAGTTTGGTCCATGCTGCTGATGTCCGCCCCAGGGACACTGCGTTACATTGGCATGATGTGGATCTTACTGGGGAGCTAGTGACTTTGATTTTAGCAAAACTGATTTTGGCTTAATAAGCATGTCTTCTCTGTTTAAGGCGATGCTCCTCAAATGAGCTGGTCATCTCATAATTTACAGTCAGTGACAGGATACTAGACTAGACAGGCCCCTGTGGTCTGAGTTGCTTTTCTTCCTTTGTTCAGGCAAGTTCTTTGTTTCTAGGTTTAGTGGGGAGCCAGGAGATGAACTCTGCATACTGGCTTTTATAGCAGGAAAAAATTCTTACCTCTGGATGAACTGTGGGCTCATGTTCTGGTCAGGTGGTTTACATAAGTCTGCTGGTCTGCTCCACCTATACTTAATGCTTCAGCTACGGATAAGTGGCAGCCTTGTTCCAAATGGGAGCCTTGCAGTGTCCACAGAGCAAATGAGGGTCACAAATAGAACAAAGAGTAGAACAAACCAAGCTGACGGTTAGGTTGTGTTACTTGCTATGTGGCTACACATTCACTTTTCTAAGTATTAATTTGTTTGTAGGTGATAGAGCAAAAGTGAAAAGAAGGGAGTCAGAATTTGGTGCATGTTTGCAAAGCTGGAGGAGGGTGTTCAGTTATCCAGAAAACAATTCTGTTAAACTTAACAGACTTGATCTGAGAATCATTGAGAAACAAATGTGAAGACCCCTGAGGCTGATGGTCATTTTTATTCAGAGACCTGTGCTTGCAGAGTACAGCTGCTGGCAACCAGCAGAAGCTGTAATAAAACTTTGTAATCTGTTTCCTTGCATCAGAGCACTGGTACTTTCAACCCCAAGCTATATATATATTACTACCTGTATTATATACCTGTAATGGTACAGTTAGTATAATTTGTTCGAAGGTATATTCAATCAATGTGCGTCTTTTCTAGGTCCTTACAGCGTTCAGGGCCAACGGGTGAAGGTGTACCAACCAGAGGATGAAAACAGCTGGCTCTGTGGTGTGGTGAGCCGTCAAGACCCCATCACTCGCCTTATGGAGGTGTCTGTGACTGAGGTGAAGATCTGATACCTTTTGTTTGTGCTTCTGAAATGTGATTCTGTTGCATCACCTGGTGAACTTATTTTTCAAAAAAAATACATCTATTTGTTCTTGGCTAGTGGTTCTTAAATGTAAAATCATTTACCCGATGCTTTATGGACAAAACGTCCGCAGGCTTTATAATAAAAAGACAGTACACAATTCAGCAATTCTGGTAGGGGAGAGGGTATAGGAGAGATCTTTGTTGAGAACAAGCTACTGTAGGGTGGAAAAAAACTAATGACTCTGATAGAGAGTCTGCTGAATGGAAACATGTATTTTTCTATTGGTGTATGGCTTTGAAGTATCTTCTTTTTTTGGCAGCTACTTCATAGGTTACATGGGTTACAGAAATTGCCATCGCTCATGCTGCATTTGTTTGATGATATACCCCAGGGGAGGACACATTGGTGTAACCTAAATTATTGTTTTGGTTTTTGTTGAGCTAAAAGTGCAGACTTTTTAGCTTCTCCAAAATCCCAGTAGTCATGTCAGTTCCAGGTGGTTGATAGCATGGTGACCCTTCATTGACAACACTGATTATTGTACTTCTTGCCCAGGGAGGAACAGCCAGCACAAATGTCTGAGTAGATTATCTGGATTTAACGCCAGAGTTGGATAATATATAGGGTATTTTTTGTTTGAATATGTATGTCGTAATTTTTTATTATGTATTTATTTATTTATCAACTGCTTATGCTGCCCTTCCCAGAAAGGGCTGGGTGGTTTTCAATAAAAAACAAAACTTAAAGCATAATAAAATAATATAAGAGAGTATAACAAAATAAACTCCTCCCCCCCAAATTCAAACACAGCCTATTTTACTCCACTCGCTCCCTACTTCCCTGCCTCTTAGTTAGGAGAGCATCCCCCCTGTCCAACCCAGTCTCACTTCTCCACCCCCATTCACCGTCTCTGCAAAAGAAAATATTTTTCCCATGTGCCCTCCCATCCCTACAGACGCCCGCTCTGCTGCCTCAAACCCTGGAGAGGGAAGGGTGTTTCTGGCCATTATTGCTTGCTGTGGGAGTTTCAGGTCTCTGCCTCTGAGCTGGGTTCTTGTATCCACGTATCTTCTGTTTGATTAAATCTGGGGAGACAGTCTTAATAGAAGAGATGCTTTATTGCTTCTTTTTGGGGGACAGGGTGACACTTGAGTAGAAAGTAAACATGAAGTCATGGGGCAAGAAACCATCACCTGCCTTAAATCTTCTAATGGACTAGTTTCCAATCTCCTGTCTTTGGGTGAGGCTGCTAGGGAATGGGTCACGCAAACTGAGTCACTTCCTTGCCAGGTTAGAAAGAAAGGAAGGGAGAAAAGAATGCATTTAAAGGGAAGTATGCTTCGTGGCCGAAGCGTGCCCAAAGTGCTCAGCGGGGCAAGTATATGAATGCAGTCAAAGGGAGAGCCAAGTTCGAGGGCCACATAACTGAAGAAAAAGTGAAACCATTAGAATGGTAAATTAAAGATAGACTAGCAAGGAAGTGGAAACAGGGTACAAAAGGTAGAGAAAGTGGGTGGGATGGGCTGTTTGGTGCAGTCTCCAAGCTGATAACTTGATTCAATGCGTTTCTTCCTTCCTCCTGTGCTTCTTGCTGCCCACACCCATAAAAATCAGAGTGGTGAGATAAAGTCAGTGGATCCTCGACTTATTCATGTGGTGATGGACAACTCGGCTCCTTCCAATGAGGTACTGTTATTTATCAGGTCTCTGCATATACAGTTGGAGCTTTGGAAAGCCTTTGAAGTCACTTGATAAAAAAGAACTGCAACGGGTGCTGTTCGCTGAGGGCATCTGAGAATTCTGCTGGAGGGGATTAGTGGGTGTCGTGTCGCTAATCAGATTATTTTCTTGGTTTCTATTAACGATCCATTTTCTGTCAGCTCAGGCTTGCTTTTGGTTTACAAAGTTAGAAATGATTTTTAGTGGCTCTTGGCATCTTGACATGTCATCTTTCATTGTAAGAGGTTTTCTGACAGCGGGTCCTGCTGGTCATTTTCTCTTATTGTAGGAAAACGTTCCTCTCCTCCTTTAGGTCCTTGTTGAGAGAGGGGTCGTGGCTGGTCCCCACACAGCAGACTCTGTAACTTCATGCCACAGCAATCTGGGATCTGCCCTCCTGATTTAAATGATTCTTCTACTTGAAGTTTGGAGCCGCGTGGTTGCTCTTTGCAGTGTAGAGCAGGCTGCCTCCTGCAGAATCCTGGCAATGGTAGCAGCTGTGTTTGACCAAAAGCTTTGCCCTAAAAGAAAGTGGTGGCAATTTACTTGTAGCAGTAAGATGCAGTATATAAATAGTTTCATAGTTCAGGCTCTCGACCATAAGTATTTTGAAGTCATTACTTTCACTGGCTTTCTGTTTCTTTAAGGTCTGCTGTACTGGTGTTGCCACAATAACATTGCTTGATGTCAGTCAGTTAATGAAAAAATTATTTTTGTTTATTGACGACCCTGTTTTAACATAAAAAGGACAAAGGCTTACCTTTTTTTTTTTTGCCTCCTTACAGTTTCCTCTATTAAAAGTTGCCAGAGCAGCATCTAGAGTAGAATAGAGTAACACGTTAATTGTTCCAGCAGACGGACTGCTTTCCATTGAGTTGGGAAGGGAGTGAAACTTGTGGTTTTCTTGACACAGCCAGGGGGACCGTATGTAATAATTGCATAATTTTGCTTCTTCTAGGGCGGAGGTGTAAAGACAGCTAAATCTTCAAAAGGGAAAAAGAAACGCGAGTGTCTGGAAGGAAAGGATGGACGGAGGAGGAAAACTGCTTCGGATCCTGGGTGCGATCCTGCAACAAAGAAGCTAAAAGAGAGGGGTGAAGCAGATAGTAATGGGAGTGATGGAGGCGAGGGAAGCAGAGGCCCTTGGAAAGGAGGAACCAGCAGTGATGCGGGGCTGGATCCAAGGGCCAAGCAGCTGCCTCCGTTTGTTCCTCCAATTAATCGCAACATTCGCTTTGCCACTTACACCAAAGAGAATGGCCGAACTCTGGTAGTCCAGGATGAACCAGTCGGTGGTGAGACACCTGTACCATTCACTCCCTTTTCCTCAGCGGCTGGTCAAGCACTGCTGGTTGGAGCTGGTTGTAAAGAGGCAGGAAAATCACTGGAACAGGTTGGCCAAAACATGGCAGCTGCTGCAACAGCTGTTACTACAGCTACTTTGACGCCCACAACTGTGAGGATCTCAGATACTGGTATGTCAGCAGTTTCTGGACAAGAGAAACCGAAAAGCCGGTCACAGGCTCAGGGAGAGGTGAGTCGTTTGCAGCTCTGAAGATTCAAAGTAAAACTAGGAAATGCAGGGAAAATATATTTTCTAAGAGCGTCTAATGTAATAGGTTCCCACTGGGAATTTGTACATAGGAAATTCTAACAGGTTTGCCGTTTGGGGGCCTCTGTCTTTCCCCTTTTTGTCCCCAAGAAGGTCCCAACGGTTCCTCTCATTTTGTTTTTTAGCCACTGACTGGGAAAAGAACTAAGGGACACCTCTTCTAAACCAGGGCTGTCCAACTTCAGCCTCTGGGCACCACACCATGCAGGCCACCGGACCATGCGGCGTGCAGATGCTTCCCCCTTTCCCCTGCTGCTCCCCATGGGCATCCCCTCCACTGCACCAGTGTCTTCCCCCATGCAGGCACAGTCTCTCCTTCCTTCCCCTCCCCCCCTTTCCCTTAGCCCTAATATTTGTTTTTTTTTCTCCTACCCCTGCTGCACGCAACACAGGCTCACCAGCAGTTCCCACTGCTACATGCTGCCTGGACTTGCCTGTAGCTCCCTGCGTTGCGTTGCCCTGCTCCCTGGGGAGGGAGGGGGAGCAGCAGCCAGGTGGGAGCCCAGGGACTGCAACTTAACTACCTTCAGCCCATGCACAGCCTACAAGGGCTAAGTTGCAGGCAGAAGGAAGCCACCTGGCTGTGAATTTCAAGGGCTGTATAATATTTGTTTAACGGCTTAAAAAGAAATGCAGTCCAAAGTAATGGAACTACTAACAGAGAGTTGTTCTGGGAGAGTAGTCGCTGTTGTGTTGGTCTTTAAAGTTGGTAGGGGAGATTTGGGGAATTTTAAGGTATGAGACCTTAGTACCAGAAGACATTTCTGACCATGGCCCAAGAATTTATGATGAACCCTTGCTTCAGAAGCTAACCTTCATTTAAAACTTATAGTCCTGTGGTCAAGAATGTTTTTATACATGAGCTATGTGATATGATAATTTTGTCTTCCTTAATCTGTAGACAGTCTGAAACTATATGAATTGGTCTGGCCTACCACAGTATATTCAGGTCTTTGGTTGTGAGGTATCTGCATAAGCTTACATGCTAGGAAAAAGCTAGCCCCACAAGTCGTCCCTCTTTAGTCTGAGTGTTCTTTAGAAGTACTGATAAAATAATGGAAGAGGACTGTCAAAATCTTTAACTCTCAAAACAGATTAATAGAAAAGACTTACAAATCCCATGGTTGCTATAGTTTGAATACGCTATGATGGATTAAAACTATAGGAGATTCTAAATCAGAAGTTGTAGTCAGAGAGACTGAGGCAATTAATGAGGCATGAAGAGACTAGATCTATATATCATATGGAGTCACCAAATACATAAAGAAGAAAAAATACTGTAGATACGCATACTCGGAGGGAGAATTCTGGGAGGCAGTAACAGAGGAAGACTGATAGTAGTCAGTACACTAAACATGAGTGTGTAGTGTCATAAGGCTACAGAAAAGGCTATGTAAGCAGAAACCTCATGCCATGATGCTGGTAGGCAGTGGTTCCACATCCTGTGGCCCTTAACTGCACCAACAACGCTGGATTACAGACTCAGTGAGAGTCAGCAATGTTCATAGATTCATAGACATTAGGGCTGGAAGGGACATTGAGGATCATCGAGTCCAGCCCCCTGCCCCGGGGGCCGGAAGTCAGCTAGGGTCCAAGGACCCCAGCAAGATAAACATCCAGGCGTTTCTTGAATGAGTCCAGAGTAGGTGCCTGCACCACGTCTGGAGGGAGTCTATTCCAGGTCTTGGGGGCTTGGACCGTAAAGAAATTTTTTCTTATGTCCAGCCTAAAATAGTCTTGTAGGAGTTTATGTCCGTTGGTCCTTGTTTTTCCTTGGGGCGCTCTGGTGATCAGACATTCTCCCAGATCCTGATGTATACTCCTTATGTACTGATAAATAGCCACCAGGTCCCTCCTGAGCCTGCGCTTTTCCAGAATCGTTATGGTGTCCCATGGCTCTCAGCCTCTCTTTATAAGACCTATTCTCTTGCACGTGCCGGTACGGAGCTGATGCCGGGGCTCGAGCCAGGTGCAGCTGTTTGGAGCCTCCCGGCTCTCGGT